ATCAAGTTTGTAATCCTTAGTACTACCTCGTTTTTGGGTTACGATGCACACCTTTCAGTATGCATTCCATCGAAATACCTCTTCCGCCCACCATAAAAAATTGATAAGCTGGTTAACAGTAAGCTCTTCCTAATAGGTAGAAGGTGCTGACGTTGACGTCTCTTGATGTTGATGCAACCGCGTCAGTGCCGTTTAGAATTTTTAATTCGATATCAATTGTTCAATATATTTTTCTGCAAGTGACGAGGACTCTCAATCTCTGAGTGCTTTTAACAAGAGCAGATCGCTACCGTTTACACTAGCATTTTGGGCGACGATCGCTGAAAACAAATCCAATTACATTGACAGGAAGACTGACTGCGGGTAACAAACATTATTTCATTTCGTGGTTTCTATATTATCAATAGTGTTAATGACACAGGTTCGTCGAGTCGACATGCCCTAAAAATACAAAAAATTACAACAACTTTTAAGTAGCCATTTTCTTTTAGTAATAATGATCTAATGTAAAATATTGGCCTTGTAACTAGCGCACCTGAAGTAACCCTTGCTTGGATTGGAAATGAAATACGGCGTTGCACTCCTTCGTATTCAAAGCAAAGGTATTTCTTATTTATACTTCTTTTCCTTAAGAGAAGATGGTATTTCGAAAAGTATTTAACACCGCAGAAACAGTCTTGGTAGGTTATTTTGGCATAACGACGTTAATAATTATAATAGGCCGTGTGCCGTTCAATTCTTGTTTTAATAACGTGTTCTTACAATCTTTAAAAAATCATACGAAGAAGAAATATAATTTGTGGGAATGGGTGCTTAGTCATCTTTAGCCAAACGCTATTTCAGCCGCCATATTTGGCCAAAACTCATTGTTTTCGATTGTTCGTAATGAACGGTGGACGGTTAAATCCTAAACGGACGCTGGCTGTTAGAGTGTCTTTTCATTCCATTTCGTTGCTTTCGCCGAAACTATTACTACAAAAATGATTTCACAAGTACATTAATACTATTAACAATTAAACTTTACTAAGCTTCTTAACTGTGTGGAAACATAATAATGCTCCCCTGTTGGAACAACCGTACGCCGCTGCAACAAAATGCGACGGAAATAGACCGACTGATTAATCTGCCGATGGGTGTGAAAGCGGAAGAGGGCTACAGTGAAACGGCATCTTGTACCAGATGTCTCACATGGAGCCAGATGTTGCTTTAGGGAAGACTCGGAAGACCAATTACACTGTACCTCATCTTGTCATCATTAGCGCAAATTCCTCACACGTTTTCAAGGCTACCTTTTCAGGCTACCCTGAAACGTGTACTGCCGTAATATATGAACGAGTTGACATCTAAATCCTCTGGAACCGTTTGCTCAACGCGCGTTTAAAAAGGGGTCTCGCGATGTTTAGACAGCTGAAGACCGGAATTTAGCCAGATGTTTCGTGGTGCATGAAGGATTGGTTTATCATGCGCTCTCAGGGCTCGTGATGCACGGTGTTCTGGACACTTCAGAAGAGAAGGCTCACAAAAAAAAACGTTTTTTCCTTACCTATGGTAAAACGTGCATCGATACCTATTCTCCTGAAGTGAAAATATCACTACGAGCTTGAAGAGACAAATCCCACGTTGGTTCGGGTATTAAAGAGCATAAGTCAATTGTACCCAATATGCACGTTCATTATTTTTGAGACAGATGGTCCTATACAATGACGTCCAATGCTTTCTCTTCTGCACCTGTTTTATTTATTTCTCACCTTAACACTGTTTTGCAAACAACACAATGTGTAGTTATTCGAATATTATTCACAGTTTTGCGACTTTCAGTTTCATCGTAATTCAATCGTACTTCCATTGGATATAATTTGAGAGAATGAACCCAATGAAAGAACTAATTACGCATAACAATTTAATTTTAAGGAAAATATTTAAGTAAAATTCACTCAATTCTTTTTGTAATAAAAAAACAGGTAAAATGAACTATTCCTAGAAATGAGTACAAAATTACACAATAAATTTTGTTTTTATAATCCGTTAAATAATTTTCAGTAACATAAACCTCTTTGGTTTATAATATTGCAATCGATTATTCACTTCGATGTTAGAGTAAATTATCATACAATTTATGCTCCCATTCGTTCAGACACAGAGTTTTTAATTTCACGTGGTGAAAAACGGTCATTCATTGTTATCACAACGATGCGGAAGTTGATCACGATAGAAAACAACAATCTTTCCCTGTTGACTTAATTTAAAAAAAACAAAACAGAAACATTACGCAAGAATGTAAAAGAGCCCATTCTCCTACGAAAATCTAATAATTGAAACAACAAGATATGACTTACACCCCCACTACCCAACAACAAAAAAACATCATCGCACTTAATTTGAACTATCATACAATGTATGTGAAAACGCGTCAGGCATAGGATTGTCAATAGCACATGCTAAAACGGGTCATTCATTCATGTGACAATGCGATCACAGCCAAGACCCAAAACGACAGAAATCAATGCTCTCTCCTCGTTGACTCAACCCAAAAAAACAAAAACCCGCAAGCGTGAAAACGGGTCAATTCCCTTCCGAAAATTGAATCGAACCAAGTTAAGAAATGACATAACCCACCTATTACCCAACAACTAAAAGCCGCATCACCGCGCGTAATTCGGTGAATTAAAATACCTCGCCGATCCGCATCGCGACGGCCTCGCGCGCATCCCACCCAGAGAGAAAGCAAGCCACGGGGAGCCGCGTGGCGTGGGGGGGAGGACGCGGTACCGCGAGTACTTTTCGGTGCACGGACAGAAGCGGCCCGCGCGACCGCGTTTTTTGCCCGCGCAATCGATTTACGAGTCTCGACAGCGCGCGGACTGCCCGCCCCGGGGGACACCAGAGCCCACCCCGCGCTTTTTCTCCTCCCCCCCCCCGGCCTTCGCCGGGCAGGCGTTCTGCTCGAGACCTCCATGCACCTGCGCGCAAAACACCAGCGCGGCTCGTCAGCGCGGGGGAGTGGGACGCGACGGGCGAGCAGCGGATGGCGGGTGAGTGCGCGGACGAGTGATGGGGCGACGTGGCGGGCGAGCGAAGTGGGCGGCGAGCGAGAGGGGGGAGCGAGAGGGCGGGCGAGCGGCGAGAGGCGCGAGCAAGCGAGAGCGGGGCGAGCGAGCGAGAGCGGCGACGAGCGAGACGGCAGGGAGGCGAGCAGGGGGGGCGAGCGAGAGGCGGGCGAGTGAACGGGCGAGTGGACGGCGACGGACGGCGCGAGTGACGGGGCGAGTGGCGGCGAGTGGATGGCGGAGTGACGGGCGAGTAGCGGGCGAGCGAGAGGGAGCGCGAGTGGACGGGCCGAGCGGGGGCGGACGACGAGTGGGCGGACGAGCGACGCGAGCGGGTGGGTGGGTGGGTGGGTGGGTGGGTGGGTGGGTGGGTAGGTGGGTGTTCTAGGAAGCAGTCGAGCTAGCGTGTGGAGAGCTGATGAGCGGGTGGGCTAGCAAGGTAAAGAGTGCGAGTGGGTGAGATAAACGAGTGTCCGACTTGGCCGGAGGGGGGGGAGGGTCGAGCAGAACAAGCCGACGGGGAGAGAAGAGGGGGCTGAACGGAACGAGGGGATGAGGAACAGGGCGTTGGAGGAAGAACGCCAGTAAATAATGGGGAAAAGTGTGTCTGACATAATATCCCCGTTGCGTTTGACCCGTGTGGTCCGCATCGCGTAAATACTGAAGACATGCAACAGGAAACTGGGAGGATCTTGAAGGGGAAATTCATTGGCGAATTGGGTTTTCTGGTTCTGTATTACAACCAACAAAGGTCATTAAAACACGTATTCATTTTAAACAAAATTCTCATGATAAATCACATTTAAGACTTACTTTCGGAAAGAAAGAATAAATTTGGATTCATTTTTCAATTTGCATTTCGAAATGCGATTGTTACCTAAAATGAATATTATTACATCGCATATTCTCCACTGCCCGACAATTAAGATGTGAACTAGTATTACCTATTAATGCGGAAAGTATTATTTTGTTCTCAGTCAACAAGCATCAGTCAAGGCACACCAGATATCCAACACCAGAACAATTTTATTATTGCTTAACATTTCTTATTGATTGAAATTCCTATTTCTGGGGATGTTCACAATGATAATTCAAAGTGTACTTGAGTTTGTAGTGTAGTGAAGTTGCAGAAGTGAGTTGCAGAACTTGAGTGACTTACTTTACTAGGATATTATTTTTCAGTATTTTCGAAGGAAAGTTATTTTGTCATTGAACTTGTAATAGATATTGAATACTTTTATTTGAAATTGTATTTAATTATATATCTTGTCCTCCGACATTTTAGTATTCAAGGTATATACATGGATTTGTAGTAGGGAAATAGGAAGCTGAGATAAATGAAATGTGTAAATTCAAACACCTTTATTCAGGCCAACAGAAACGCCACAGGCAAAGATAGATATCACAAAACAACTCGTCTTTGGTTCTCTAAAATAATAACAAGATAAATAAACATAACAAAAAGGAACGAGAACATAGCCCGTCCACGTATAACAAAAAGGGAGTGTTGTCCGGTATCCAGTCGCGTACTCCCAAGAGGGGTTTCGTATATCCGTTGAGTGAGCCAGTGGCGATCGAATCACCGCCACAAGCACCTTAATGATGGTGGTGACCATGATGATGACCATGATGGTCTCCATGGTGGCCATGATGGCCGTGGTGTCCGTGATGTCCATGATGATGACCGTGATGATCACCGTGGTGATGGCCGTGGTGGTCACCGTGATGGTGGCCATGGTGTCCGTGGTGATGACCGTCGTGGTGTCCATGGTGGTGGCCGTCGTGGTGACCGTGATGGTGGCCGTGGTGGTGGTGAGGATGGTGGTGGTGATGGTGGTGATGGCCGTGGGCGCCGTGATGGTCTCCGTGGTGGCCGTGGTGTCCATGGTGGCCGTGATGCCCGTGTCCGCCGCCGCCACCGCCGCCGCCGCCTCCGCTCTTGTGTCCCCAATGCTTGTGTTCCTCGTGACCTCCCTTGCCGCCGTGCTCGTGATGGTGTCCGTGGTGGTGCTCGTGACCTCCGTGCCCGTGGTGACCCTTGTGGTCGTGGTGATGGTGTCCGTGATGGTGATGTCCCTTCTTGCCGTGATGTTTCTCATGGTGTCCATGATGGTGGTGGCCTCCCTTGTGGTGACCGCCATCATGATGTTCGTGATGATGGTGATGATGTCCGTGCTTGCCGTGGTGGCCACCGTCATGGTGCTCGTCGTGGAATTCGTGCTTCTTCTCGTACTCGTCCTTCTTATGCACGCTGTGTCCGCCTGGAAATTGCCCGTTATTTTCATGATATTCAGTAAAAAATACATCAGAAATCGATACACTTAGGAAGCGATTGTATTGAACAGCATCTTAGACAAACGAATGTTACACACTTCCGTGAATATTACAAGTAATCTTAAATCTTTATCCACATCATTCCGATTGATTGCTTTTGCCTTGTCCCAGTATACACCACATAGTATAAGTCGCAGATAAACTCTCTGATTAAATCTATTCTCAAAGTATGTCTTAATATCAATTTAACGTTAACTCATAATGGATACGCACTAGATCTTAAGACACTATTAGCGAAACTTGTCCCAACGATACCAACTACAATTAAATATTACAATTTGATTTTAAATAGTTAAATTTTTCTGAGCCAGACAATACTGTACCCTAGTATTGCAAAATCTCTCGCGAGATTCCGTGATGCAGTGTTAGCCGCCCGTTCTCTGGCTGGGTCTCACCTTTGGTGTGGTGTCCCTTCTTGTGGTGGCCGTGCTCGCCGTACTTGGCGCCCTTCTCGCCCTTCTCGCCGTGGTGGTGCTCGTGGTGGTGGCCGTCGCCGTGGTGGTGGCTGTGCTTGTGGCCGCCGTGGTCGTGGTAGTGGCCGCCGTGGTGCTCCTTGTCGTGGTGGCCGTGGTGTCCTGTCGATTACAAGGCACACGCGTCGTGCGGGTTAGCGTTTGTCGCTGGGCGGTTCCTCGGCTGCCTGACTGAATGGATTTCAGTTCCCGATTTTTACAATGACATTCTTGTGGTAATTTTGCCTCTGCGAGTTTATAGCCGAACTGAAGAAATAGACAGAAATGTGCTTGCTGAAATATATCCGGTACACGCAATATATCCGGATTATCTTGGATGATTTTTAGAAGGAAAATTCATTTCCATGTTGCATAAGTCAAAATCTTAATTTCTTTTTCTATATGTGAACATAGATATTTTCTTAACTCGCTGAATAATCATTTGAGAATCTCGCAAATAGTGATTGTATTATTTGTTTTCAAAACTAAAATGGAAATGTATTTAATAATGTCAAGCAATTGAAACGATAATAAAAGCGATTCCGAGTTTATAACAATAGACTTCTCTTATGAAAATTTGAGTATTATTGTACTTCAGCACAAGATAGGTTATTGCTCAAACGCAGCACTATCCGAAACGTACTCCGATCCAGGAAACTTCTACAACTCGGCAGGTAAACCTCAATCACCTTTCTCGTGATGGTGATGCCCCTTGTGGCCCTTATGCCCCTTGTGGCCATGGTGATGGTGGTGGCCCTCGTGGTGATGGTGACCTCCTCCGTGCTCGTGGTGTCCGCCTCCGCCGCCGCCACCGTGCCCGTGGTGTCCGTGGTGGCCGTGGTGGTGATGGTGCGAGCCAGCCGCCTCGAGGTCCTTGGCCGGCGCTTCCGCCAGCGCGTCGGCGGCCTCTACTTTGGCAGGCGCAGCGACCACCGCCGCCACCGCCGCAGACTCCTCGGCGACGGCGTCTTCCCTGACCAAGGCCACATTGGCAAAGGCAGCGTGGGCGAAGCACGCCACCCCGAGGAGCAGAAGGTGCCAGCGGCACCCGAGCGGACCCATGCTGTGTTCTGTTGGTCCGAAGGCTGGAGGTGATGTGACTGCTCTGGGCCTCAGCCCGACTATTTATACCGGCGACCCTCCCACTCCTCGCCGGCTCCCTGGCCTGGCCCCTTCGCCGGCGCGACGTATCCTCCGACGACGGCCTAATCGGGCGTGGCATTTCGATTCGGCTCGATGCTTAACTGACCCCGGTCTTCCTTCTTTCGCCTTCGCTTCTTTGACGCCGACGCCGCCTCCTCTTCTTCCTCCGACGTCCGGCCGCTCGACATATGGCTGATTGCTGTGTCATCTGAGGGCTGCAGTAATTCACGCCGGTCGGTAACCTGTTACGCTTTCTAAAACCAATCGCGCCAAATGAAGCGAACCAACAGACGCCGGTGCAGCTTCTCCTGCACCGGGTTGAGGCGACGGTGAGAAACTTGGATGGGAGCTCTCGGCGACAGGTGAGGAACTTAGACGAGGCGCCCGAGTACCACGAAGACTCCCAATGCAGGAGATTTGAACGTCCGTACAGTGTACAATGTTCAAAAAATTAATACGCACTTAACGTTGCAAACATCAATCTACGCTTTCACTGATACGTTTAAAAATCATAGCGGTAAGGATGTGGAAACACGGATTTCACATTGCAAAGTGCTACGATACTAATTTCACAAGTACGTTTTCTTAAAATTAGAAATGTAGCCGATTAAAAGAATAATATCGGTGTATTTCTTTAAATATAATGTATTTTTTCAATTTTATAATTTTAAATATTCACGTACAAAGAAAATCCTGAAGAGAACAAATCCTCTGCCCGCAACGACAAGCAGCGAGTTTGTATCCCATTGAGGGCACGGATGTTTTTACTTTGTAATAATGACAAGTCAAACATCAAATCATTATGAACCGAATCATTCATTTATTTCATATTAAATGTTGGGGTATGGTGTCAACAACAGCCAAAGTTTGAAAAAAATACATCACAAAAGAACTTCAAGCCACTTCCCAAAATGTTACAAAACTCTTGATCGCTCACAAAACAACATCACAAAACAAATAAAATTTATTTAGTGATTTCACGAACATTTTCTCGTAGCATTGATGAAAACAAGAATTCATTTTTGTCTAAACTGCCATTAATCAAATGTCATATTTCAACGAATTCTGTATATCTGTTTTATGATAATAACAGACTCTAAAAGTGCTGTATCTGCTATAAGGAATCTATCCATTGATAATATATTGGTCGAAGAAATTGTTGGAAAAATCAACCATTTGAACACTGAGGGTAAAGAAATAGGTTTGTGCTGGATACTCTCGCACGTTGGCATTGCAGAAAATGAATTGGCAGATAAAAAAGCTAAAGAAGCAGGGCGAAGCGAAGTTCGAAGTGATATACCAGTAATCTATCAAGAATACCTCAAAAGAGTCAAGAACAAATTAGCTGACCTCGACAGTAAAGAATGGAACAACT